ACCCAGATATTTTGGGATTGGAGCCCAGGGAATGTATTTTTAAGAGGTGCCCCATGGAGGATTCTGATTCACACCGAAGTTCGAGGACCACTATTAGTGCTAATGAAAGGGGGCGGTGGGAGATTGAGCAGACAAATCAAGACTTTGTCAAGGATGGTGGCTTACTGGCTGTGCAGATTACTCTGGAGGTAGTGGGAGATTTGAAGATTTCAAAGACAGAGGAGATCGGTGATTAGAGCTTACTTAAGAAAACTATATGCACCTGTGTTTTTAAATCCATCAAAGGAAGGGGCACCTGGGTGGCTCAGTCCTTAAGCATCTGCCTTCAGCTCAGGTCATGATCCCAGGGTTCTGGAATCAAGGCCCGCATCCCATCTGTCTCCCCGCTCTGCGAGAAGCCTTCTCCCTCTCCCACTCCCCTTGTTTGTGTTCCCTCTCTCGCTGTGTCTCTCTCTGTCAGATAAATAAAATCTTATTATCGCTTCTTGGCCTTTTGGCTAAGATCAAGTGTAAAATCTTAAAAAAAAAAGATCAAAGGAAGGCAAAGTGAAAGAAGGGGGGCTATTGCAAGTGATTGCAATGGTCTAAGTGAGAGCTAACAGCCTAAATTAGGATTGTGGCAGTAGGAATGGAGAGGTGGCCTATGAAAGGCAGGTGAGGAATGTGATGAGTGTCAGGGATAGGTAGAAGGTGTCAACGTAAATAAAGAGGAAAATTGAGGCAAGCTTAAAATTGTCAAAAAGATGAGTTTATTCAGCAATAGCAGAGGAGTTGCCATTCAAGACATGCAAACTGTAGGAAAAAATAGTGAGTTTCTTGAGGGTTTGGGGTTGACTATATATATGGGCAGGGAATGTAAGGAGAGCTCAGAGACTGTTAAAATAAAAAACAAAGGGAGGCCAGCTTTGAAAATTCACCAAGCAGACAAAACCAGTCCAGTCATACAAACAAAACTCAATCCAGCTTCTTTTGCAAGACCATCCCCACCTGGGTCATTTTTTGTTCATACCTCTGGAAACCATGAGCAAAACTTCCTAAGGCTGATATGAGATGACCCCTGACCAACTCCCTATCATTGAAGAAAATTCCAATGTCAGCTTTCCATAAACCACAAATCAATGGGAAATGAGTCTCTCAGTCCTTAAGTTTTACTTTTCTACAGGCGCATTCATTTTATATCCTTCAGTTCCATTTTAGATTACAATTCCTTCATAAAGAACATGAAGAAATAAAAGGGAAGAATGAAGAAAAATGGAGTGTCTTCTGTATCAGACCTATTGAGGATTTCCATTGTACTTTAGGGACGTGGGAGGTTAGACAGTGAAGATAATGGGTCTTTCTTTGCGTGTGCTATTTTTCTCCCTGGTTTCCTCTTCCTTCCCCCATTTCTCCCTCTCAACCTGGTACATTCTTACTTGCAGTTTCCAGCCCACATGCCACCTCATTTATGAAATCTTATTCTCACGAGCATAGTTATTGTCACTCCTCAGAACACCCAGAGCACAGAGTTCATCCGTTGTTAGCTCTCCAGTGTGGCGCTAGGGTATAGTGGCCATACATTTGCAGGCTGTTCAAAGAGTTGAATGAGCACATAGAGAACACACAACAGAGTGCTCACCTGATGTTATTATATATGTCATATTGCCATGAATTCATACATGTTTCCTGGTCTAGACTGTGAGCAGGACATGTGTCTCATTCTGGCCAACAGTAATGCTGCATGGCAGTGCTGGTAAATGAGATTTGGAATTAGAGAGATAGGGTTTCAAATCCCAGCTCTGTTACTTACTAGATGTGTAGCCTTGAGCTTTAGTTCCCGGAATTCAGTTTCTTCATTTATAAGATGGTGAAAGAATGCATGTCTTACAAGTTGCTATGAGGACAATTTGAGACAATCAAAATTGCATAGCTGGCCCAAAGAAGGCAGTCACTAGATGCCAGTTTTTATTGTGACGTGTAGCTCCAGAGCATAGCACCACATACAGAACACAGTAAGTGCTTCATAATTGCTTATCAAATGAAAAATGGACATGGTACTGCAGGCATGATCCTAAGCTCTTTAAGTACATTATCTCATCTCATTCTCACAAGAATTGTACAAAGAAGGCACTATTATGATCTCCAATTTGCACAGAAGGCATCTGACGCTTAGATTTACATAACCAATGTCTCACAAAGCTACTGAATGCTAGAGTAAGGATTTCAATATCTTTGGTGCTCAAAAACAAAACAAATAACAAACAAACAAATGGGTGCCTGGGTGGCTCAGTGGGTTAAGCCTCTGCCTTCGGCTCAGCTCATGATCTCAGGGTCCTGGGATCAAACCCTGCATCGGGCTCTCTGCTCAGCAGGGAGCCTGCTTCCCCCTCTCTCTCTTTGCCTCCCTCTCTACTTGTGATCTCTCTCTCTCTCTGTCAAATAAATAAATAAAAATCTTTAAAAAAAAACTAACTGAATAAGAGAATGAAGGTTGGGGGTCTTACCCAGAGTCAGGTAGTGGTGAGGGAGAGCCAGCATTGTTCCTCTTGCTCACTGGGCTCTCCATAGTCTTTGAACCATCTCTGTGAATGAACTGAGAATAGATGGAGGCCAGTATTTGGCAGTTTGTGTCTAGTATGTGCAAGGGCTGTAGCCTAACTACTCCTGTTGATAAACTGAAGTGCTTAGTGAATAAACACATCTTAAATAAACTGGAGGCTCTAGTGTTTAGCTGATTGGCAACAGCATGGCCAGATCACTTTCCCAAGAGCTAAGAAAAAGCATTGTCCAAGCTACTGATTTCAAATCGTTTTGTATCATGGACCTTTGCGTTGAGCTTATCAGAGTCAGGATATGAGATCCTCTCTGGCCTGATAACCTAACCATTCATATCCAGGGGGGTTAACTAGGGAAATTCAAAGAAGGAAGAGAAATTTCCTCTGCTCATCATTCACATTATCCCTCTTTCTCCCAATCTGCACTGAAAAAGGAGGAGGAGGAAGTGAAGGAGGTGAAGGAAGAAAAAGAGAGGAAGAGGAGGAAACAATCCAGTTCCTAGTTTCCTGCCCAAATAATGTTCTTTTTCTTTACTGGTTAAAAAAAAAAAAAAAGGGAGATGTTTAGATAGATTTCTGATTTTGAAGACTCCTAAGCAATCCCAAATCCCAAACTTGAAAGACATCGGAAGGAGTAGGAGCATTTGTAGTGGCAGGCCTGGCTTTGAGCCCCCGCTCTTCCCGTTATGGCCATGTAATCTCTGTTTCCATGTGGTATGCCACATTCCCAGCTTGATCCTTGGCAACCCAAAGCACATATCCAGTAAATGACAGTCATTTTTCTCTTTCTAAACAAAAGTAATATCAGAAGGATTTCAGTGTGAGAGTGAGGCTGAGAGTTAAGGCAGGTAACAGAACTAAAAGTGAGACCAAATTTGGAAGTGAAGTAAAAAAGCTGGAAGCAGGCCTTTGGAGTTCATTTTGTTGCTGTGCTGATGGTACATTATAGCATCTGTTCTGTCTCCCACCCTGGAAACTCTGTTCAGCCAAACAGGTACAAAGGGTAATGCTGGTGAAGCAGAACTTGGTAGGAACAGTAACCTCAGTTAATTTAAAAAACTAGGGACATCCAGAAGCCTACTTGAGAATGTCATGTCATTATAAACAAACTGAAACAAACACACAGGGCTGTTTGATGGTATGATTTAGAGGGAGGCAAGTATATTCGTTTCCCTTGGCTGCCAAAACAAATTACCACAAACTTGGTCGTGTAAAACAAGAGAATTCTCTTGTAGCCAGAAGTTCAACATCAGTTTCACTGGGCAGAAATCAAGGTGCTGGCAGGGCTCCCTCCAGATGCTCTAGGGAGAATCCACTTTGTACCTCTTCCAGCTTCCAGGGGCTGCTGGCATTCCTTCTCTTGTAGCCACATTGCTCGCTGGACTCTCTGTCTCTTTGGTCCCACTGCCGCCATCTCCTTTATGTATACCACATCCCCTCTGCCTCTGTCTTAGGAGAACACTGGGTTTAGGGTTCATCCAAATGATTGAAGATAATCCCCTCATTCAAGATCCTTTCTTAATCACATCTACAAAGACCTCTTTTCCTTATAAGTTAAGACTTACAAGTTCATAATCATAATCATTGGTGGCTGTTATTCAGCCAACTGCAAGAAGCTTGCTCCAATTTAAAATTTTTTTTTATTGTTAAAGATTTTATTTATTTATTTGAGAGAGAGAGAAACAGAGATAGCGAGAGAGAGCACAACCTGGGAGGGGAAAGGAGAAGCAGACTCCCCGCCGAGCGGGGAGCCTGACTAGGGGCTCAATCCCCAGACCTCAGGATCATGACCTGAGCCAAAGGCAAACACTTAATGGACTGAGTCACCCAGGCACCCCAGAAGCTTGCTCCAATTTAACTAGCATCCCCAAATGAGGTAACTCCCTCATCTGTTTATTTTTTTCATTTAATCGGGTTGTTTTAATTATAAAAACAATTGATGTTCAGTGTAGACATTTGGGAAAGACAAAAAGTTAAAGAAAAACAAAAAGGAAAGGAAAAGAAATTAGATTAAAAAAATCACGCGTAATCCTCTCACCCAGGAATAGTCAACCCCTCACCAAGGAGCATTTTTTCTAGGCTGGGTCTCGTGCCCAACAAAAAGGAAGAGCAGGAAAAGGAAGATAACGGTAGATAGGAGAGAACAAGTGATTTGGAGAGCAATGGAATATGCTGGCAATTCTCATAACGGATATGTACAGGACAGCCTAATTTAAAATAAATGTAGAACTACGGAATGAAGAAATGATGTCAGCTGGGGCAGGAGATGCCTGTATGCGGATTGGCAGACACGACACTGTTCTTTAGAGGGGGGAAGTTTAGCTTTGGCCCCTCACTTGAAAACCCCTGAATGTGTCCATTACCACTTCATTCACTCCCAGAGGTCAGAGCCTGGCTTGCTAATCTGCCCTGTCATAGGCTTTTCTCGAGTCCTTATCAGCCTTCCTCAGTGGGTCAATGTTATGAAGACCAGGGGAGTCTGGCAGAGTTCCTGCTCCTCCCAGGCTGATATCAAAGGGCAGCAGGAGCTGTGACAGAAGGCAAATATTCAGACCAGAGCCAGATGAGGCACTGAAACAACAAGAGGAAAAGCAAGAGCAACAGGTAAAAAATAATAATATATTTTTTTTTAAATCTCATCCTTCTCATCTTGGGGGTAATTTTTGTCTGAGAACACAAAGGGCTTAGTAAAAGAGTAGCTAACTTGTAAACTGGTGAAGGACAGCGAGTGAGTAATTTGGGAAAGTGTAGAAAGGATGTTCTTATGAAACTAGAATCTGGAAAACTTTGTATCTATCATAGTCGTTATTGGCACCCAAGCAACATCCATGAGACTTGGCAGTCCAGAGAGTATAGGTCTGCTAGTTCAAAAGCAATTGATTTGTTCTGTGGGACCCAGCCAGTGGAAGTTATAGGAAAACAAATTACAGCTGAAAAATCAGGAAGCCATTTCTTTTTTTTTTTTTAAGATTTTATTTATTTATTTGACAGACAGAGATCACAAGTAGGCAAAGAGGCAGGCTGAGAGCGAGGCAGAGGAAGGCTTCCTGCTGAGCAGAGAGCCTGATTTGGGGCTCTATCCCAGGACCCTGGGATCATGACCTGAGCTGAAGGCAGAGGCTTTACCCACTGAGCCACCCAGGCGCCCCATAGGAAGCCATTTCTAACACAACTGTCAGAAAATAGAAGGGTCTAATCTGAGAAGCAGCAAGTTACTGATGGCTGGAGGTGTTCAAGCAGTTGCTGGAAAGCAATTCGTTGGGAGTTGGGAATATCATAGAGAGGACTTAAGAATCAGACAAAAGGGGGGCCCTGGCTGGCTCAGTTGAAGGAGTATGTGACTCTTTATCTCAGGGTCATGAGTTCAAGCCCCATGTTGGGTATAGAAATTACTTTAAATAATTTTTTTTTAAATCAGATAAATGGTTAGGCTGGAAGATCTTTAAAGTTCCTCCAATACTTCTGTGATTCTATTATGTGAACAGAATGTTATCAGAAATTTCTCTAAGAGCCATACTTTTTACATTTACCTCCAGAAGATGCTCCTGGATGAAAAAACAATTCATCAGGTTAATTCTGGTTTGCCTGGAGGAAGTGAGAAGGCAACCAAGAGCAAACTAATGGCAGAGGAGGGTAGCCATCCTGCAGGATGCCCGATTTTTCCCCCTTGGTGGGCATAAACAACACCCACATGGCCTCTGCTTGGTGAAGATCACACAGAAGAAATGGCTTTCTTTTCCTAGAGGAAGAATTTTCATCTGGGTTAGTAAATATTTTGTTTTGCAATTAACAAAAAGCTCAGGGTGTTGTTTCTGAAACATTTGCTGCAGAGCCCTGATTTCAGTTTGGGTGGCTCTTCTCTGGTCTGTGAAGCAAAAAGGAGATTGACTTAATGACTATGTCCCAAAGGCTCAGGTGTCTTCCAAGCCTCAGAGGTTCCCACGGCACAGGGCAGAACTATTGAGGAGGGAAAGAATACTCCTGATCCTACCTCACACTCTGTATGGAGAGATGTATTGAAGAAATGTATTTTTAGAAGAAGCTTTGAGGAGCTACACTGATTTCTGCCTTTGGTATCAATAGACATTCTTTCAGGAGTAGAATTTTTTAAATGTATAAAATAGGACCTAAAGAATACCAAGTTTTATATTTGTTTTTATAGCAAGATCTTCTACATCACATATGTCCCAGGACTATTCTCCTTTAGTTCTCTATTGCCTTCCTTCCTTTCTCCTTTGAATTATAAATAAGAGCATCTTCTAGTTTTAACCTCTGTTTCTGCATATTTTCTAAAAACTTGCTTTGGCTCCTGTGCCAACCCAAGCCCTTTAGATCTGGGCTCACTGTTGATGCTTTCTGATTCTAAATGAAAAACAACTAAAAACTTCAGCAATGTAATTTTTCTTTGATGGCAAAATATTAAGCATTCATCTTCATCTATGCCCGTTCATGCTGGAAAGGCTCAGGGTCTTGGCAAAGTTGTTAGAGACCAGTAATATCAAAGATTATTTCTAATATTAAAATGGATCTCCAAAAATGTATGACTTTGAAGAAAATATTGTAATTGCTGGGATTCTTGTTAATGTAGAAACAATGTTTCTGTCCAGGTTATTTACTGGAACCTCCTTCTGTTAACTGTTTGGAGCGCTGAGGGGCCGATGGGATGGCCAGCCTCCAGACCGACATGGAAATGCTCTATCCCGAGACAGTTGTACACGTGGGCAGGGTGACTTTTGGAGAAGAGAACAGGAAGAAGATGACCAATGGCTATCTGAAAAGAACTGAGAATAAGAAAATCATCCAGGCCACGTGTGCCCTGTTAAATTCTGGAGGGGGTATGATCAAAGCGGAGATTGATGATAAAACCTACAGTTACCAATGCCACGGGCTGGGACAGGATCTGGAAACTTCTTTCCAAAAGCTCCTTCCTTCCGGTTCACAAAAATACCTTGACTATATGCAACAGGGGCACAATCTCTTGATTTTTGTGAAGTCCTGGAGCCCAGATGTTTTCAGCCTCCCCCTCCGGATTTGCAGCTTGCGCTCCAATCTCTACCAGAGAGCTGTGACCTCCACAGTCAACCTGAATGCGGTCAGTTCCCTGGAGCTCCTCAGAGAGAAGCAGTCTAGAGCCCAAAGAGGGAGACCACAGGTGAAGGAGCTCAGTTCTCAGAAAGTTCCCAACAGAGACATTCAGGAAGAGGAAGACATGAGGACATCTGCCTCAGAGTTGTTTCAAAAGGACAAACTCATGTATAAGGAGAAACTCAATTTTACTGAGTCAACCCATGTGGAGTTTAAAAGGTTCACCACCAAAAAGATCATTCCCCGGATTAAAGAAATGCTGCCTCATTATATTTCTGCATTTGCCAACACCCTCGGGGGATACCTCATTTTTGGGGTAGATGATAAGAGCAAAGAAGTATTTGGATGTAAGAAAGAAAAAGTGAACCCTGACTTACTAAAAAAAGAAATAGAGAACTGTGTAGAAAAGTTGCCAACGTTCCACTTCTGCCGTGAGAAGCCACAGGTGCATTTCACTACCAAAATCTTGAATGTGTACCAGAAAGACGTCCTGTACGGCTACGTCTGTGCGATTCAAATAGAGGCCTTCTGCTGTGTTGTATTCTCAGAGACCCCGGATTGCTGGATCATGAAGGATAATTCTGTCACAAGGCTGACGGCGGAGCACTGGGTGGCCATGATGCTGGCTGTTGAGTCAGGTAAAACAGAAGGGAAGTTGTAATCCTGTCCGCGGGGAGGAGCCCCTTCTGTGTCTTCTGTGGCTGTTCCATCAGGTGTTTTAGTTGAAGCATAGAAAGCTATTTTGCTTGCAAATATTCTCCCATTACAGGGTTTTAAAAAATATATATATTTTCAGTTCCAGGGTGCCTGGCTGGCTCAGTCGGTGGAGCATGCAACCCTTGATCTTGGGGGCGTGAGTTTGAGCCCCATGTTGGCTGTAGAGATTACTTTAAAATAAAATCTTAGAGAAATATATTTTTCAAGTTCCAAAGACTCAGAATATGAACCTTTGAGGTCAAGAAATGCTTGGATGTTAGTCCACTTTGGGAAAGTTATCTCATCAGCCATGAATTAGTGAAAGTTCCCTCTTATGCACGGTAACTGCCTATTAAAAGAATTTTGCAGGCTGATATCCCTAGTCAAAACGTGCACTGACAGTGTCACTCTAAAGATGGTATTTGAGAGAAACGCTGTTTAAGGATGAATCTGCTAATTCTTTCAAGGGAAGCTTGTTGACAAACTTGCATGGTTGCTGTAACATTAGGAACTAACACCTTTAACCAGCAGGCTTGGGATACCAACAGATGGCAGGGGGAACCATGCAAAAAGGAGATGCTAGGCGGATCTGGTGGTGGGGGAGGTCGACTTCCAGTGGTTTCACTTCCTTTTTGGTTTGGCTGGGAAACAGCCCTGGTGATTTCTAATCAATCCGTAAAGGACCTACTGACTGAAAAAAGCTTATCAGTTTGCCTTCATGGTCAATATGTTTCCAATTTGATAAAAGAAGCTGGGATCAAGACTTGAGTGATTTTGCTGGATCATCCTCTCGTCCCAAGTTTGAGTTTACTTTTCTCATATATACACACACCCCAAATTAGAGATCCTGCCACTTTCTGTTCCATCTAAACCTTGAATGGGGGGCTTAAACACATTATAAAAACATAAAAAAAATACTGTGCTTAACTTTTTCTGATCTCCCCCCCCCACCCCCGCCTTTCCTCTTAGGGTTGAAGCAGAATCAGAATATCAAGAGTTAGAAGAAAATGTAGGGGTCATCAGCTCACTTTGGCACAGGAGAGAGGACAAATGACTTGCTCAAGATGAGTCACACAGTGACTTTGAAGATGGGTGACACCACTGGAGTCCCCAGGCTTCTGTCCCTAATATATGTGAACTGTTTGAGGCATAGAAGGTGTGAGAGAGGCTCAGGCACGATGCACAGCAGATGTCAACAGCAGTACGAGAAATAGAAACGATTTTCTGGGGCACCTAGGTGGAGTCGGTTAAGCATCTGACCTGATTTCGGCTCAGGTCAAGATCTCAGCGTCATGAGACTGAGTGAGCCTCAGTGCTGGGTGTGAAGCCTGCTTAAGATTCTCTCCTTTTTCCCCATTTAACCTCCCTCCCTCTCTCCCCCCCTTTAAAAAAAAAAAAAGAAAGAAAAGAAAAGCGTTTTCTTTTTGATCTGAAACAACTTGCCATTATTTGTTTAGCAACTGCCAGTTTGACCACTGACTCCAGCTTTCCCCTGTGCGCCCCAGTTCCAACAGCACTGGGAAGTCCATCATCTCCCATGAAAGTCCTAGAATTTAAGAGACCTCTACAACAACGTCTGTTTCCAGGTATTCCTTCTTGATTTCCACTGAAACGACTGTTTTCTAAAATTGAGTTGGGGGGGCGCCTGATTGGCTCTGTCAGTCTAGTGTGTGACTGGATCTCCGGGTTGTATTTGAGCCCTACAACGGGCATAGAGTTGACTAAAGAAAAAAAGAAAAAAAAGAAAAAGAAAAAATTAAGTTGGGAGGAATTGGTAGTAATTAGTCCAAGGCTTTCTCCTTAGAGGAGGTCAAATGTAGGATTCAGCAGATGTAATGGTCCTGAAACAATAAACATGATGACCCTTGCTTCTTAGTTGTTGTATCCACACTACATTTTTGGGTGCTTTAGAGTTTCCCGTCACATATGGTTTTGTGTTCCAAATTTGAGAGAATTTAGTCTAAATTCCTTAAGTCTATACCACAGGAGAACTGCCCCCTGGCTTTCCAATAAGAAGATGGTGAGCCATTGGGTCACCTGGCTACATCCTAAAGCAGGGCTTCTCAATCTGGAGACTACTGACAGTCGGGCTGGATAATTCCTTGTTGAGAGGGGCTGCCCCATGAACTGTTGGACGTTTAGCAGCATTCCTGCCCTCTACCCACTATAGATGCCTGTACCCCTGCCCTAGCCATGACAAAAAATATTCTAGATGTTGTCAGAGGCCCCCCGGGGGCAAAATTGCCACAGGTTAACAATCAATGTCCTGAAGGCAAGTTCTTACTTCCCTGAAGCATCAGGTACATACACACACACACACACACAGAGAGAGAGAGAGAGAAACCTGTAGCAGGAGGGAATACCTTCCTAGCAATAGCAGGCCACTTCCGGTTGAGGAGGGAATGCCAGCAGACTTTTCTGTGAGGACTCCTCCTTGTCGCCTTCCCCTACACAAGCTGCCAGAAATAGGAACTTTAGAGTCCTGGCCTGTGAAGAGAGGGGGTGCTTTCTTTTAAAAAAATATGAATTAATTTTTAATTTTAATTCCAGTATAGTTAACATACAATGTTATATTAGTTTCAGGTGTACAATACAGTGATTCAGCATTTCCATTTACTACCTGGTGCTCATCAAGATAAGTGTCCTCTTAATCCCCTTCACCTAATTTATCCACCTCCCCCAACCTGCCTCCTCTCTGGTAACCATCTGATTGTTCTCTGTAGTTAAGAGTCTATTTTGGGGGTTGTGTCCTTTTCCCGCTTTGTTCATTTGTTTTGTTTCTTAAATACTGCATATGAGTGAAATCATATGGTATTTGTCTTTCTCAGACTTATCTCACTAGAGATAAGTCTCTAGATCCATCCGTGTCATTGCAAATGGCAAGATTTCATTCTTTTTATGGCTGGATAATGTATTATATACCACATCCTCTTTATCCATTCATCTATTGATGGACACTTGGCTGTTTCCATAATCTGGCTATTGTAAGTAATGCTGCAATAAACATAGGGGTGCCCATATCCCTTCCTATTAGCGTTTTCATATTCTTCAGATAAGTACCCAGCTCTGGGATTAGTGGATCTTTCTAGATAGGTCTCCCAAGGCAAGGGAAACAAAAGCAAAACCAAATCATTGGGACTACATCAAAATAAAGAGGGGGTGCTTTCTTTGCACCCAAGGAAACCCATAGTTCCATGGCTAGATTCATTTCTTCCTCTGATGTTGCAGGAATACTTACAATATGCTTTTGTAAATCTTAATTAGTAACTTCTATTTCTTGCATTTTCAGTGACACGGGAAGAGATACAGTTTAAACCAGAATCCCTCTGTAAGAAGCTCTTCTCAGATCATAAAGGACTCAAGGAATTAATGAAGACACAGATATATCCTTGTTCTCAAGGGATTGTGGTATTTTCTAGAAGCTGGGCTAGTGATGTTGGCCTAAGGAAGGAGCAGGATGTCCTGTGTGATGCTCTCCTAATAGCAGTGAACAGTTCACTGATACTCTATACGATCGTAATAAATCCTGGTTGGAATGGAGGGCTTGAGTATGTCCGAAATACTGCTCATCAGTTAAAGCAGAAACTAGGAACTGTTGGTGGTTACACAGGGAAAGTGTGTGTTATCCCGAGGCTGCTGTACCTGTCCAGCACACAGCATGGCCCTGATGAAATCCCCGTGCACTATCCCACATCCTACAGGCTTGCCACCAAGGATGACATGGAAGACTTGTTGCAGGCCCTTATCGTAGTCTCACTGTGTTCTAGATCCCTTCTGAGTGACCAGCTGGGCTGTGAATTTTTCAGCTTGCTCATAGAGGAGCAGTGTGAGTGGCTTTCAGAAAGCCTTCAGGAGACACGAGAATTGTTCATCCACTGCTTTCCAGGAACCAGGAAGACAGCCCTGGCCATAAAGATCGTGGAGAAAATTAAGGATTTGTTCCAGTGCAAACCTAAAGAGATCCTTTATGTTTGCGAAAGTGACTCCTTAAAGGATTATGTGATGTAAGAGTTCCACTAACTCTTGGTTAAAATAAACACTTTAAGTCAGTCTTTTCCCCAGGATCACCAAAGTTTAATTTGTGTTTTTAGTTTTAAGACTTTGCAGTGCCTTAGCTGCCCAAACTATAGACTCATTTCCAAATGATCAGGTAGTTGAGCTACAGATGGGTACTTTGCAATGCTCGGGCTTAGACATCCCATTACAAATTAGCCAACTATACATCGCTTTACATTTTTCTAGCTAGTAACATCCCTCACCCTTACAATATCTAGCCTTAGCTTTAAGAAAAGAAGAAATAAACTTACCTTGTTTTATATATACTTTTTGCCTGATACTTAATGCTTTAAAATCATAGAATATTTTAATTCATTAGGCATGATACCTAACAGGAACTTAAATTTAAACACCATTTGATTTTGTTTATAAAATATTTTCAATCGTTTGACTTCTTCTGAACCAACAATTTCAGAAAACGTGAAAATCTGCCTCTGATTTAAATCTTTACCTTTCAATTTAGTGAAAGAAATCAGTTATTATACAATCCAACAAATGAGGGCAAACTCATTGTAATTTTTGATTTGGTTTACTTATTTATTCAATACATATTTTTTGGGCACCACCTATATGCTAGGAATGTGTACATTTAGGGTTAGTGGGTGAAAGACATATTGAAGACCAGGCCATAAAGCCTAATAAAGGAGACAAAGGAAAAAAATAAGATAATAAAAAAAAATGTGAGTGTTGTGCAATTAGTATGATAATAAAGATATGTTTATCTTTTTTTTTAAGTTTTTATTTATTTATTTGACAGGGAGAGAGAGGGAAAGTAGGAGTGGGAGAAGCAGGCTCCCCACTGAGCAGGGCGCCTGATGCAGAACTTGATCCCAGGACCCTGGGACTCGATCCCAGGACCCTGGACTATGACCTGAGCTGAAGGCAGACGCTCACCAACGGAGCCACCCAGGTGCCCAAGATATGCTTATCTTAACTTAGGCTGGAGATTAGTCAATAAATAGTCCCCAGAGAAGGGGATCCTTGGGCAAACTCTTAAGAAGTCAGTAGAAGTGGATAGAATGAGGGCTTTTAAAGCAAAGGGCACACAGCAAATGCAGAGGCACATGAGCGAATCAGAACTGTGGGTCTGACTGGGCCATTGAGGGAGTGGGGAAGGGGCAGGTGAGGAAGTTGGAAAGGAGGTAGATGCCAAATTATGGAGGATCCTCATAAACCGAGCTAAGGGCTATGCAAGAGACAAATCCAGCAAGTATCTATTGAACCCCTAGGATGAGGGGACTAACAACAGTGCTTTTCTTCAAGAAGTCTACACAGTCCAAACTGGTAGAGAACATGAGTAGCTGTGATTCAAGGCATAGGGAGTAAAACCCCAAGGACTGTATATGTAAATCAGGAAATCTGTAGGAATGAGTGATATTCCTTGGATCCAAATTAGAGGAGGCAAGAAACAACCAATTCATGTAGCCAAGTTATATAAATATAGAATTTTTTAAAACAAACTGGGTTATATACATTTATAAATTTATATATATTTATAATACAGATATATATTAAACTTGGTTGTATCTTGCTTCCTCTAATATACTGAAACATACCATAAAGGAAAATTGAGCTAAGGAAACACAGTAGCAGTTCCAGAGAGGCATAGCCCTGCAGATTTGTAACCCTACTTGACATGTCACAGAACTCAAGAACCTCCTGATATTTTCCTTACCAAAATCTAGAGAGGCTTTGGTTTTGTACTATAAGTAAGTGGGGGAAATAGGACTTGCTTTAAAGGAATTTGTACTAGCTCATATCTCTTTTGCACATAAAATTCTGTCTCTAGGGACATGTTCTCCAGCTCTAAAAAGGACAGAAATTTAAGTAATGGTAGTAACAGGCATAAATTACTTTTGAGATTTCCTCTCCATGTAATAGGCTTATCTTCAGAGATTGCCAAGCTGCAGAAAGAGACTAGTAATAGAAATAAAATCTCCTACCTGGGTTCATTTCAAAAAGTTTCCCATGCAGATTTAGTTAGATAACCTCAAAGAGTAAGGTTTGCAATTATATATTATTCTGTCTGTCAGGTCACTTTTAAGTATTGAGGGTTTTATTGTGTTCAAGCTACCCCAGAATCAGAGAGTCAGACTCTAGGTGAGAACTAGCCTCTCATTCCAGTCTGCTTAGTAATGAACACAGGGCATTCTCTTGCTTTATATGCCTGAAACCTTATTTTCTCTTGCATCCTTACAGCCAACAAACCACCTGCCACGCTGTGACCCGGAAGACCTTCTTACAGGGGGAGTTCCTAAAGATTAAACACATAGTGATGGATGAGACTGAGAATTTCTGCAGCAAATATGGAGACTGGTACCTGAAGGCCAGGAGCATCACCCATCCAAAGGTGAGGGGAGCTGGAAGTGAAAACCTTCATCGTGGAATTCTCTGGATTTTTCTGGACCCTTTCCAAGTCCGTCATGCGGATATTAATGGCCTTCCCCCTCCATCTGCTCAGTTTCCTCGAAAAACAATCACCAACGGGATCCACTGTGCTCTCGAAATAGCAATGGTCATGAAGGAAGAAATGAAGAGAATCGAAGCCAATCCGCCCTCCGGCATGTCCCCAGACACACTGTCATTGTTCAGGGAAGCTGCCTACGAGGAAGCAGCACGTGCCCAGGCTCTGCCTGGGGTGTGTGAGACAGAGGCTAATCTGACTATGGAACAGATTGTGAAGCGGGTGGCAGAAAGGTGTCACGACCTGTTCCAGTGTGGCTATCGGCACAAAGACATTGCGATTCTGTGCAGGAAAGGGGAGGACAGAGGACGCTACGAGCCCGCACTGCTGAAAGCAATGGAATTATTTGAAACCTGTGGAGCAACCAAGGTTGTGTTCAGCCAGGCCTCCGGGGTTTGGGGCGGTCACATCATTTTAGACAGCATTCAGCAGTTTTCAGGCCTGGAGAGGAATATTGTATTTGGGCTTAGTCCAGAATGCGCCCTGTCCGAAGAAGCTCATAAGCTCTACTTTGCTTCACGAGCCATTAAACACCTCTATCTGTTCTATGAAAAGAGGGCCGCTTTCTGAAAATTATTTTCACAATACAGGCAGCCAGAAAGAGGAGAGTCCCTTCTCCCAGGCAGGTGGCAACAAATCCTTCTCACGTATTATCAGTGAGGAGATTGAGGCACAGTAAATATGGCATGGAGCCACAGAAATATCTCTAGGGATTGACCCTTCCCCTCCATGTGCTGTCATTGTCCTCTTCCCCGTCCACATCACCTCCTGCCTGTACAGTCATAGAAGACTGTTGATTGGTCCCTTGCCTCTGGTTTTCCTAGTCTGGTCCATCTTTCAGGGACCAGAGGTTGTCCTAAATAGAGAACAGAGTGTGTGACATCCCCTGCCAATGTATCTGCAGTGAGTCCCTGAAGTCTTTAAGCCAAACCAATTTCCAGGTCTTTCCATGCTGTACCCTGACTTACTCTCCTAATGTAGCCTTTGTTCTATGTCCTCTCCCAATATGTCTAAGGCACCCCAGCCTCGCTGGCCTATGCTGGGAGTGGGAGGTAGGATGCCCTCTAGGCTCCTAACTTTGACTGGGTCTCTCAAGGGCAACACCTTGGTCAGACCTCCTACTGGCTATGGGTCTCAAGCTTTATGCGTCCAGAACTTGATTTCCTCTTTTCGCTAAGTAGGGATTAGTCTCTTGGGAGTGGTATTATGCTAATCAAACTCACAAAAGACCAGTGCACTCACTCACTCGGTCAATTCACAATGAGGACTGTAGTAATATATGGGCCGGATACTTTAGCTTATCTATTCTATAGTCTATTCAATAGTAACATACGAGGCCAAATTATATAAGCATAGCTTTGCAGCAATGGTAATCTCATCCAAATGTATGAAGACTCCAAGCATTGTCAGACTATTGCAATCATCTCTAAAATAGGAATATTTTGGGGGCGCCTGGGTGGCTCAGTGGGTTAAGCCTCTGCCTTCAGCTCAGGTCATGATCCCAGGGTCCTGGGATCGAGTCCTCCATCAGGCTTTCTGCTTGGCAGGGAGCCTGCTTCCTCCTCCTCTCTCTGCCTGCCTCTCTGCCTACTTGTGATCTCTCTCTGTCAAATAAATAAACAAAATCTTAAAAATAAATAAATAAATAAATAAATAAATAAAATAGGGATATTTCCACCACAAGGATTAGACAGGTCCAGTTTACAAAATAAAGCAAATTTAGAATGCTGAGGGTGGCTAGGTAGTCCATATCCTCTGCCTCAGATGAAATTTCTCTTCTCTCCTAGTTTCTAAAGTTTCCAGGTTGACCACCAGCCTTCCCCCTCCCGCCTCCCAACACACACACATATTTTGCTCCCATTCATTCTCCACATGTAGATACATTCACCTTGTCTCAACACTGCTTGTACTCTGCTGCTGGCCTGGGAATATTCTGCCTCTAAGAGGTCTTTGCACATCCCCAAGCTCTTCTGCTATGACTTGGTGTTAATGTTAATCTAACTCTGAGTTTCCAGGGAGCCTGGACGGCAACTCTACCACCTCTACCTCCCATACACACTCCTGGCTCCTGGCTGTGCTCTCTTCTCAGCCTTCAAACCGTTGGGTGCCCCTCTACCTGCTGAAATCCTTGCTTGTCAGTCAAGTCCTTGTTCAAATGCCCAACTCCTTAAGTAAACTTTCACCATCTTGGTCTTAATTTTTTAAGACCTACCTTAAATTTGGTCTCTCCTTTTGCGGCCATTCTGTGGCTTAAAAGACTTTTGATGATAATGCCAAACTCATTCTAAACGGCCAGAGATGGAGCTGTTGGCATCGTCATATCACTGAATACCTTTCTGTCATGTCTTCTTTCCAAAGTATGTGAAATAGAAATAAAAATCAAAGTTCCCTTTCTCGGGGCGCCTGGGTGGCTCAGTGGGTTAAGCCTCTGCCTCCGGCTCAGGTCATGATCTCGGGGTCCTGGATCGAGCCCCGCATCGGGCTCTCTGCTCAGTGGGGAGCCTGCTTCTCCCTCTCTCTCTGCCTGCCTCTCTGCCTACTTGTGATCTCTCTCTCTCTCTCTGTCAAATAAATAAAATCTTAAAAAAAAAAACAAAAAAACAAATTTCCCTTTCTCTAGTCAGCTCCCCCAAAGAGCGAAGCAATCTCGCTGTTTTGTAAGGATATTTATGTTGCTTTTGGAAATATTCTAATTTCCAGATTGTTTTAATTTCTGGAAAGGTTTAGGACAACCTTATTGATACTGGGGAGTCATGAATGCAAAAGAGAGTGTGCAAATAGTCCTCTGGCTATAATTTCAGATAAGACCCATCAGCTTTCCAAGAGGTGGGAGAGCAGACAGGGCTGGAAAAGCATCCATAGCAACCTTTCTAAATTGCTCAGGCCACCAGATGGGCCAGTCTGAACCCAATGGGCAGCTGTCTTGACGTATGGATTGAAGAAAACTTCTGCCCTGCTTCTTGCTGCTTCAATTCCTTCTTTTTATGTTTCCTTGGGGTTTGGGGAGTACTTTGGCTGGGAGAGATTGAGTTTAACAATTAATTAGCTTCCAATGAAGCAAAAGATACCAGTGCAGGAACATTTGGATAATGGGAGATGTGTGAATTTTCTAAAAATAATTTAAAGAGCCAAAAGTGGAGAGGCAGTAGGAGAACAGAAAAAACAGGCACCTGCTACATTTAATCACAAGCCTCAGTACCATTCAGCTTTTTAAAACTATATGTCTGTATTATATTATTTGATAAAATAATTCATTTTTGAAGGAATTGTTTTATATATCAAATCGGAGAGTCTATCAGTTCTTAGTTTCCTCAAATGGCTTAGTCTGGCTTAAAGTAGAAAGCCTAACTCAGTGGTTCTCAACCCTGGCTACTCATTAAAATCATCTGCCCAGGGTCAGAGGGGCTTTAAAAATACCTGTGATCTGGGGTGTTTGGGTGGTGCAGACGGTGCAGGCGGTTGAGCGCCCCACTCTTGATTTCAGCTCAGGTCTTGATCTCAGGTTCGTGAGTTCAAGCCCCATGTTGGGCTTCACACTGGATGTGGTGCCTACTCAAAACAAATGAACAAACAACCTAGTGATCAGACCGAACACTCAACCAATCAAATAAGCATCTCCAGGCATGGGGTTGAGCATCTGCATTTGTTAAACGTCACCCAGATGTTTGTAATATGCCACCAGGTTGAGAACTATTGAACCCAAGTCTGTTCACTCTGTCCTCAAACAGATGTCTGCACACATTTCTCTTCCTATCAGACTGTGGGCTTCCTGAGAGTAAGGATGGTCACGTACACATCTTTATTTCCCCAAATGCCACTAGTGCAGTGCCTCAAATGTGGCAGGTGCTCAGTAATTATTTGTTGAATGGACTTGCTGCCTTCAGAAAATCAGAATCTGCTAGAGACAATGCCTCTATTCATTGAAATAGATAGCTAATTTTGGAGCCTTCAAAGAGGTCAGTGTGCAGAATAATCAGCAATGAAATAATGAAGAATAAGAGAATAAAGGAATTTAAGCTGTTTTTAGAAAGGGGCAAAATTAAAGGTCCAGGTTATTGGAAGTTCATTAGATTTGAGTTTGAGATTTGGCACTGGTGGGGGCTAAGAGTAATTGACTTAGAAATGTAAACTTTTCTACATACTCTCAATATACTGCATAAAACTATTTGTTTGATGAAATAACTTACCTGTGATAAGCATCTAAAATTTACTTTAAAAAAGAAGGGTGATATAATTCTATTATGCAAATTTGAGAAACGGACAAAGACAAAATAAAAAGTTCTTATCATCTCGTTATCCAGGCATAACTTTTTTTTTCATTTTTGCTTATTTATTTGCATTCTTCTTTGATATACAAAAGTAGTATGTTATGATCCAGTTGTACAATCAGTTTTCTATCCTGTGTGCATTTTCTCCTTTGAACATTTTTGTGAAGCATTGTCATAGATTGCATTAGTGTTCCCAATCCTCTATCACTCTCCTCGCTGTACTCTTTGTAGTTCCTAACACTAGATCAGGAGGATATTTCCCACCCCCATGGTGTGCGTGTGGCCATGTGACTTTATTTGACCAATGAAATGTCAGTTGTTGTGATGCACACAGGGTCTTTACCATTTCAGCAGTCAGCCTGCTCTCTTGGGCTTCTTCTCTGGCCACACAAAGACTAGGTTTGGGCAACCCACCAGTCACTGATGAGTGACAGATGGGAAGAGGGCTTGGCACTCAGCCAAGTTCAACTGATCCTGACTATGTTAACTGAAACCCAGCAGACCTACAAATGCCTATGTGAGAAATACATGGTTATTATCGTCCTCCTGAGATGTCAAGGTTTTTGCAGCAGGTTATCATAATTTTAAACTATTAAAATTAAGCCAGGCACATAGGCATACAGCCTTTTCTTTCTTTGGTATATTTATAAATCCCCAGAGAGGACATTCCTGGATCAAAAAGGTGGCCTAGATAAAAGACTCACCTCATTTATGTAGGGTTCTGATGGGAAGTGGATAGGAAAAGCCCAAGGACTGTACTTGACCATGCAGATGCATTGCCTCCAATGAGAGAACAAGATGCTGACATGGATGACAAAAGGGCACTGGTGTCTCAGAAACAGCTACATGGAGAATAAAAACCAAGGCTCATCACCCTAGCCTAGGACCTAAGAGGAAGATCTTAACTTAGAGAATTACAGATGGGACCATTGTATAAACTTAACATTATATAGAAAAGATTCTCTGGTTACTTGAAACCAATGCATGGTACTATCTCAGAGAAAAAACAAAACAAGAAGTCTTTGACCATCAAGGACTTTTTTTCTGAAGAGAAACTGTAGCATGGAGAACCCCATTTAGGGAAAGTGGAAGAAGTGGAGAGGTAAACTAGATTTCCCAGGAAGCTGAGCTGCCCCAGTTTCCCCAAGGTTTTAGGGAAGCTGCCCATTAAATTGTTTTCGAGAAACTTCTATTTGAAATAAGTACAAAATTTAAAGTCACTGTATTTGACTACTTATCAAGTGCTTACTACAACCAGTAACTAAGGCTGGTTGCTAACGCTTTGCCTACATTCTCACATCTCTGTGAGGTAGATACACATTATCTCCATTTTAGAGATGATAAAACTGAGGCACAGAGAATTTCACTTTCTTAAAGGTACCTGTCTGGTAGGTGTCCACGCTGGGTAAATAAGTGGACCCTTCGATATGGTACTCTTAACCTTGAGAATGTATAAATACTCTGAAAATACTCTCCAGAGGGAAAAAAAATTCATGTTTGCTCTCAGGATCCTCTGTCAAACTCTCATCTCTAGAAAGCACTGGGTTCCACTGTAAGAGAAATAGCTGACTAGCCTATACTGTTTCCTGTATTTAACATCTGTCACGTCTCCCAGAGACTCTGGATCGTTCTGGAAAAATCTCAATTTTGTCTTCTATAAATCTCAGGATTAGATTTGGGCCATATTCCTGACTCGTCCAAGGTCAGGCACTCCTAACAGGAACTGCTGCTGTATCTTGGCTTCTCCTACTGTGACATTGAAGGTGATTTAGAATGAAAAGTCTCCACATTCCTTCTTCCTTTAAAATCCCTTAGAATATATTTATACCCATATCTATCTATCTGTAAGAGTAGAGCTTGCTGGTTATCAAATGAAATGGCATTTCAAAAGATTCAGGGACAGTGTTTTCCCTCTGAATCTACCTCCCC